TATTTCCTGTCCCTGGAACCCCCTTTTCTAGATACTGGTAATTCACTTCTTCACCTCATTTGAGTTCATCCCCAAATGTTACCTCTTAGCAAAACTCTCAGTCACCACAGCATTTAAAACAGCAGCCTGAAACCAGTGTCTGTCAATTCTTTCAAAGCATATAGTACCATGGGCCTTCTAACTATTGTCTGTCTAACAAAATTTATCCACTGCCTGTCATCTATCTATTATCTACCTATCAATCTGTCTACCTGTCACCTATTTATCTTTCTATCACCTCTCCTCTATCTGTAAATGTGCTTATTTTCTACCCCATCCTCCCCAAAATGTAAGAGCAGGTCCTTACTTTTACTGACTACTGTGACTTCAGAGCCTGTAAAAGTGTCTGGCAACTAACAGATGCTCAGGAGACAGCAGCAGTAAATATTCCTGTTTTTCTATTTCATTCTCACAATAATTTCAACCATCAAGAGGAGGTATGTACAGGTTAATAAGTGTAGAGGTTAAGAACTAGACAATAAAAGCAAAAATCTTGGTTTCTCCCTTGGTAATCTGTGGGATCTTTCCCTAGTTCCTTGGGCTCCCTGGATCTCAGCTCCACCACCTATAAATACAGATGCACACAGCACCAATGTAAGGTTGTTTAGGGGAGTAAGGGATGATGTAACTAAGCATGGAGTAAATATTCAGTAGATGTTACCTATTACCATTATTATAATTGTCATCATTGTCATGGTCATCACCACCATCATCATTGTGAGCTTTAACCTGGTGAATTAGACCCAATGAATACAGTGCTCAAAATAAATAAATAAATAAATAAATAAACAAACAAATAAATCCATCCCAGGGAGGTTAATTGTCTCAAGAAACAACAATAACAAAAAAGTGACTGTCACAACTGAGAAAAGAGCCAGTCTACATATCTACTAGCCAAGATTCCTGCCATCATGTCCTCTCTCTTTACCACAGGTGGGTACAGAGTGTCCAAATGGCAGAAGTAGCAAACTTCTTCCCTTGCACCATCCCTACATGGCAGCCAGCCTTTGATATGGAAAATTTTCCTTCCTGTTTTAGTTAACTTTTTCACTGCTGTGACTTAAAGACCTGACCAGAACAATTGTAGAGAAGGAAAAATTTGAGGGCTAATGGCTTCATAGGTAATAGTCTATAGAAGGCCAACTCCATTCCTCAGGGCTCAAGATAAGGCAGAACATCATGGCAGAAGAGTGTGGCAGAGGGAAGCAGCTCACATGATGATCAGTGACCAGAGAGGGAGAGACTCCAGTCACCAGATACAAATATATAGAACAAAAATCCACACCTCTAATGAACTACTTCCTCCAACCACAGCCGCCTGCCTCCAGCACCACTAAGTCAATCCCATCAGGGATCGATTTACTCATTAGGTTAAGGCTATAACCCAATCTTTTTTCCTCCAAACCTGCTTGCTTTATCTCACATGTGAGCTTTTGGGGAACACAGCATCTAAACCATAACACTTTCCAAGACTTACAATTGATGCTGTTTGTTGCCTGTCCTGTAGCCATTTCCCCTCATCTTTATTGCAACCAAATTTCATTTCTATTTTGACAATGTTCCCAGTCCCCAGGATGAATCATCACTGCCCTAAATCAGTCACAGAAACCTGACTCTCCCTTGACCAATACTGACCAACAAGATGGAAGGGTACCCTGCAGAAATCTCATGGGTAATATTTCCTCTAAGAAACAAGAGAGAGCCACCCCAAGAAAAGATCCTTTTGCACCTCCCTTGGCCTCTCTACTTGGGATGCTGCTGTGTACTGACATAGTGCTTTGGGCTGTGGTCTTCATCTTGCAACCACAGGCTGATCACATGAGAAAACAGTGTACGTAGGCCAGCTGAATATGCAGGAGGAGGGACTGAGAGAAGCCAGCCCTGAAGCTGTCTTCTCTGGGCAACTAGCCTAATCCTGGAAGCTGTGGTGTGAGAGGATTATATGGCTTGATCGTTCAGCCATTGCTAGTCTTGTGTTCTATCACTTGCTACCAAAAGCATTCTGATACCACTCACCTGGGACCTCCATCCTTTTCCTGGCATCACCCCTTCATGGTTTATCTGGTTTTCTGTCTATTGCTTACAATGCCAGTCTGCAGTGGCACAGCTGAAATAGGCAATGAGCCTATTTTCTTGATGTGCACAATCCCCAGCAACTGTGTACTACAGCCGAACTCTCCCTCACCAGCTTTCTTCAGCATCTTTCCAGAAGAAAAAACCCTAAGCTCTGTCATCTCACTGGTCATGTTCATTGACCCTGGTGTCCAGCTCAGGCCCTCCCCAACAGTTTTCACATATTCACTTGTGACACCTGCCATGTGACAAGAACTGAGTAGTTGTACTGGAGAGAGAGAAAGTGAACAAGATACACATGGTTTTCACCTTCATGGAAGGCACTTATGTCATACTTTACACTTCTTGATCTTTCAATCATGCTATTAAGATAGGACAGAAATCAGCAGTTCAATAGTTTATTGTAGATATGTAATATTTAAATGAGGCTCAGAGAAATTAAGTCATTTGCCCTTAATTACATCTAAGAAGTAACAGAGTTAGGATCTCAAACTTGATTTTCTTTCTACCATATGAAAGCCTAAATTCTGAATAAATACAATTCAAGCCTACTGTGTTACAAAGAGGAGGTCTATGGTCAAAGACATCCTTTAGTGACAAAGATTGTTAGAGTCTGTAAACAAGTCAGGATGGCACCTGGCATTTTGCCAGGGGGAGTGGTTTGTGAGGTGGCGTCAGCGAGCCATTAAGTGTGGAGATTTCTTATTGATTGATTGCTGTATCTAGTTTATGTTAATTAAGATAAGCTGTGTGGAATGTATATATACCCCTCCTGTCCTACAATAAACGGCTCCCACTCCTGCTGTATCGATCTACACAAATTGTTCGTCACCCCCCATTATTTTGTCCAGCCAGCTGGACTGCGGCAAAAGATGTCACTACAAGTTATGCCAGCTGTTGGGCCCTCTTGGGCCATGCCATGTGCCCCTATAGCCACTCATTTCATTTCACTGTAGCACCAAGAACAACTTAACATCAAGGTCTTAGCCAGGCCTCCTGAGCACAAGGGAGCAAAAAGATTGGTGAAACTGTAACACACCTCCTGTTTCCAGACCTTCCCAACAATTTAGACAGGACCAACTCTGAGTTGGGGGCACTTCAACAGTCCCATGTTCATGTCCCAGAAAGGTAAGCTGAGGGTCTACCTACACAGAATGACTTGCCTATTCTCTTTGGAGAAAAGAGGCACAAGAGGAGGAGTTATTGAAGTCAAGTGGCTGAACCACAGTCTCACAGTAGCATGGACCCAGCTGGACTGCCTCCCTCCACTTTCCTCCATGTAGCTCACCAGGGTGCTATCCTTGAGAAGACAGCTGGAAACGTGCAAACTCAAAGAATGACACTCTCTTCACTTTCACTTCATGAGCATTATTTGTTCTGCAGGGTAGTGAAATGTGCACAAACATTCACAGATACCCCTTTGCCCGTGTTTCTTCAGTGTGAATGGTGACATTCTCCTGGTAACACATAGAATGGCCAAACCCATGATGGTGGATTGGTCTTTGTAGTAAGCACAGCCAACCCTCTTCTGGAAGAATTCAGAAAAAGCTAGAAACCCAAGAAGCCTTATGTGGGTTGGATTAAAAGTAAGGGAGTCAGGATGGGAGGGGAGGTGGTAATGGGTTCAATAGGTTTTTTTTTCTATAGCTTGTTTCACTCAACTTCTCTTTTGTTAACTCTCTTGGACCACAGCTGGGCAAGACACTCGAAGGTAGTCTCAGGTATAGCTGGCCAAATATATCCCCAAAGACCATGTGAAAGGCATAAAAGATGTAGAATATCCTGCTGCTGACTGTGGAGCAGCAAGTTGTCTAAGGGAAACCACATATTCATCTCCGTGTGTCTCAATCATAGCCTGAGGATAGCTGTTTTAGTATCACCCAGATGACTCCATGGCCAGCCTATCAGACAATATGAATCAGAGTGGTGCCCACTGATCTGGATTTTTAACAAGTCCCTTCCTGGCACTGGCATAGCCAGGAAAGTCAATGAAGAGTCGCTCTACCCCAAGCTCAGATGAAGTGCCCTATAACTTAGGTCCCAAAAGGAGGCTCCTGAGCACTGGATTGTGGATTCACAGCAATGTTTCTTCCTTTGTCTGTGCTGGCCATGCCTGACCCCACACCTCGGCCCCTCTCATAGGAATCTTAGCTGGATCAGAAGTCCCAAGTGCTTTGCAGGCAGAAATGTTGTGTTTATGGAATGGTCAAAAATAAATGCATTTACTCCCTTGCTAATCACCTCTAGAACCTGCTGCAGCCAAGGGGGAGCATGCACTTCTCCTCTAATAGAATAAAAAGTCGACTATCCAATGCTCCCAGCTGGAGTCACTTCTGTCTTGAGAGGGCAGAAGAGGAGTTCACCCACTGGAAGGACAACCACAGAGTCAGCTGCAGTGCCAGTGGGAGTATACTGCTGTTTGGGCACAGAGTGCTGCGTGGAGATCATCTGAGCACTCCTTTTGGGATTGACCCCGGCCTTTGGGGATACCAAGAGGGCCCAACAGCTGGCATAACCGTGTCAACAGCACCATCTACTGGTCACCCAGGACCATAGCACCTTCCTCCAGGTCCAAACCCAGAGGAGCCTTTCCTCCCTGCCACCAGGCACTGTTCCTAGAGTGTGGGAAGTCCTGGGGCCAGGCCCTTCCCAGGAGGACCTCTCTTCAGAGCCCATAGAGCCAGGACTCAAGCACGAAGAGGAACTAATCTCATCTTTGCTAAACATGAATCTATGTTGACAAATTCTCTCTCCCAGATGCACACTGAACTTTTTTTTTCCCCAATGCTGGAGATTGAACTCAGGGTCTCATGTATGCTAGGCAATTGCCCAACCACTGAGTCATACCCCCAGTCCTAACACTAAATATTTTTAGTTTTCTTAGATATTTGTGGTTCCCCGTTATCTTTACAGATCTCTACAATCTTTCATGTTACAGTATAAGTTCCTAGAGGGAACAATGACTGGGTATTTCTTTTCGGAGTGACTAGGTCACCAGCTCACATCGCAATAGACTTTGGAGAGAGTTTGTGGATGTGAGGAACAATAACCAGCACTTGTCATTTGTAGAAAGCACTGTGCTCTCGCTGATGGCACTTCCCTCTTCCTGGCATGAGTCATTGTGGCCGTTCTGTGCTGAGGCTCACCAAATGTCAGGTGTATGCGGCACACTCCACAGGGGTTATCTCACTTCATCCTCACAAGGACTCTAGGAAAATGATTCAGAGAGAGATTAAGCAACCTGCTCAAGATCACATTGCCACCAAATGGGAGAGCCAAGATTCCAGGCCTGAGCAGTCAAAAGCTGGAAACTCCCATCTTAACAGTTATGCTATCTGCCTCCCAGAAAAGCCCACGCAGTCAATTCCTCATTAAGCCTTCAGCATTCTACCTATCAGGTGGAAACTGCCACAACTCCCTTCTCCCTGTAATCACTTCTCAAACATCAGTTCTTCCTGTATGACCAGGTGGCCTCATTTGCCGAACCTGCAGGCCTGCCCACGTAGGAGGAACTGGGAGGGTGGAGAAGGCCCTAGAACCAAAGTAAGCACTAAGAGTTAATAAAAACCCTAGACACCCAAACTCAGACGTGAGATCCCTGCAGTCATTCCTTTGTTCTACAACTTTTTATTGAGCACCTACCAAGTAACATACAGGGGGAACTAGAGAAACAGCAATAAATGAGAGATGGGTGTGTACAAATATGTAACAATAAATCCCACCAGTGTGTACAACTATAATATACCAAGTAAAAAGATGTGAGAAAGAAAGAAGGGCCCTCCCTGTCCCTCTGGAGGTGTATATCATAATGGTGGAGACAATTGGCAAATAAAGAAATGGGCAAATAATCATAGACAGTGGTTATGCCAAGAGGGCTGAAAAGAAAGTGGATGGTTTGCTCTCTGCTCTCTGATCATCATGTGAGCCACTTCCATCTGCCACACTCTTCTGCCATGATATCCTGCCTCACCTCGAACCCTGAGGAATGAAGCCTGCTGTCTATGGACTGAGACTTCTGACACCATAAGTATGTCAGAGTGGAATTGTTGAAACAGTACCATATGTTCCAGTGAAAGGTATTCTTTCAAAGAAAGAGGTTTAGCAGAGTGAAGAGGATTGAGGGAGCAGCCTAGGACCACCAACTGGTGAGAATACTCACAAATGTCCTTCTTTCTGAACTCCCACAAAACTGTACCTGAAGCTTTGTTTCCTGCATTAAAAAAAAACAGGAATTGAGGATATTATTTTCATCTTCCATCAAAATCCACATCCTCAAGAAGATCATTAGGCCCTGTGGAATTCAGTGTCTCTACCTAGCCTCTGAGGAAACCTCACCACCTACAAGTAGGAATCTAAGACGCTGCCTTTCTGCTCCCCTGGAAGAAGTGTGTGTTGCTCAACTGGAACTATGCAAAGCCTTGTGGTTAATCTGGTATGATGGGAGTTCTAGGGAGATATAAGAAGTCAATTCCAGATGCAGAAAGCATCTCAGTAGGTAACTGAAAACCAAAGATAATGTTTCCAGCTGGTTTGAGGTTGAGGAGTGATGTTGGAGAAGAACCACACATCTCTGATCTCAAAGGAGACCCAGTAGATGAATGTTAAAGAATGATCCTCACTATCTGGGAAATCCATGGTTGGAAAATTGGTAGTTAACTCTTCTCACTCTTTGCCAAATAGCGTATGTATGTTACAGCTACCCAATATCAACCATGACCTGGACCTACTAGAATTTATAAACAATCTGGAAGAACAATAAGAAAACTCGTATTGGAGTTCTGTCTGTATATCCCTTATGAAAGTGAATGATCTCTGATGGAGAAGAGGGGGAGGGTCAGGAAAAGAGAGGAATGGTGGAATGAAACCTACACCAAACTATCCTATGTACGTATATGAATATACATAGCAAATTTTACCTTTATGTGTATCTATAATGCAGTAATTTAAAATAAAAACTATAAGTTAATGGAAGAAAGGCCAGCAGAATAGAGAAAAGGGAAAGGGGAAGGAGTGGGAAAGGAAGGGGATTAGGAGTGAAGACTGATTTGGAGCAAATTATATTCCATGTATGTATGATTGTGTCAAAATAAACCCCAAATATATGCATAACTCTAACACATTAGTAAATATTTTTAAAGTGGAAAAAAATACAGAAAGTGGATGGTTGAAAGCCACTAGGCTGGTTCCATAACTTGGCTATTGTGACTGCACTGTTATAATGCCTCCATTATAGTTTGTTGATTTTAGTTCTTTTGGATAAAGTAGGAGTAAAATAGCTCATCAGATGGTGGTTCCATTCCTAGTCTTTTGAGGAATCTGATAATGATTTCCATAGTGGTAGTACAGAATTGCAGTCCCACCAACAATGTCTGTGTTATAACACAATGGAAGTCTGCTCAGCCATAAATGAAGGTCTGCTCAGCCATGTCATCTGCTGGTAAATAGATGGAACTGGAGAACATCATGTTAAGTGAAGTAAGCCAGACTCAGAAAGTTAAGGATTGAATACTTGCTTTCATATGTGGAAGCTAGAGGAAATCAATCGAATTATACTATGTGCATATGCAAATATATCCCAATGAATCCCACTTTCCTGTATAATTATAATGCAGTAATTTTTTTTAAATAACAGAAGGGTGAACAGTAGAAGAAAGGAAGGGGACCAAGGGGAGGGAAAAAGCGGCAAAAGAGGAAGTACTGGGTAATGAAATGGAGCATATTTGTGTTATGTATAATATGTGTTGATGAACCCACTATTATAATCCACTTTAAAAAAAAAGAAAAAAGAAAGTAACCGGTTTGGAGTTCCTCCACGAACCAGTCCCTGACTTTTTGGGCAGGGTGCAGGGAGCGGGGTTGGAAACCTGGAGGCCTAGGGTCCCCAGGGCGCAGCGTCTTCCTGCATCCCGCGCGCTCAGTTCCCAGTTCCGGCTGGCTGCCTCAAAGTTTCCCAACTCGCAAGAGCAGCTGCCGCTTTCTCTTGCCTTTGTTTTCCCCCTCTCAGGATGGAAAATGAATTTCGAGCATCGCTGCGGAGGCTGCCAAGTAATTGGAAAACATGTCGAACAATGTGTCTGGTTGCTCCGCGGGGGCGCGGTGCCCCCCTTCTGGTGGTTTCCTTGTCGTTCCGGGAGAGGACGAGCAGCACCCTCCCCAGGCCGTGAAGTCACCGCCACACCCAGGGTGGGAGAAGCTGCAGAAGCAGCTTGTGTGGAGAGAAGGGTGTCATTTGGGCACCTATATAAAACAGGCCGATATCAGAGCCGCGGGGCATACCGCAAACAGAAGCAGAAGCTGTCCGGGTGTATGCCCACTACGTGGAGAAAGTGCTGACCTATAGGTCATCAGAGGCGGATCTATGCCCAGCAGCCAGAGCTTTTACCTCCTAAAGCCTGATGTGGAGTCAGACCCCAAGGAGGCTGAAACACAGGGCCCTATCCGCTCTCCCCACTCCTTCTCCACCTCCAGCACCCTCCCCGCCATCCATCTGCCCCAGGCCAATTCTCCTGGGCGGAGCACCAACCTGGCAGCTCACAGGGAGCATCTGCTTCCAACATTTTGAGCCCAACATGGCCCATTTTTATGTGCTGATATGGCATCCTTGCCTAACCTCCTTCTCTGGGAATGAACCAGTGCCCCACCCCATCTAGCAATGGATACCCAGGACACTGGCTGTGTCTTCACTTTGGGAGTCCCCACGACATTTAGTGCAGTTCGTGAGAGCAGCGTTTTAAGTCCCCCTTACATCTCACTCTACATTGACTGTCTCTGGAGGCTCCTGCGTATAGCTGATATAAACAAACCCATCTCCCCTTTTGCTCCCTGGCTAGGCTTCGCATAAGGTCTGTCTTGGAGGAGATATACCGGCCCAAGTTGGGTCTAGGTCCCTGTCTGTCTAGGATTAAAAAAGGTCCTATGAGGAAGGGACACACACCTAGATGATAAAGACAGACCAATGCCCCTCCCCAACTAGCACTTTAAGAAGTTCCTGGGTATGACCTGTACCTGTGCAAGCCTAGACCCTGCGTACCTGCCCACCTCCCTCTCCTAGCCCTTCCATCAGGGAGAGATCCATGACCCAAAAAGCCTTTATTAGCTCTTTCAGCTCCATTTAACTACACAAATGGTTTGGTCACAGCTGACTGGTCCCAAATTTGCCAGTGATTTTCTTTTAATTTACCGTGGCTCAGTCCCCCTGTAATACAGGTAAAGGAGGCATATTTGTTTCCAAACTCCCCTCCTGGGGTTAATCATGCACAGAACAAAACTCCATTTGAGCCACTTAATGATTTCATTTCCACCCTAGGTTTAAAGGCATTGTAGCTATAATACTAATGTGGGTCCCTCTATCCCCAAACTCCAGATGTTTGTGTATGCTCAAGAAAGTGAGAGCTTGTCATTGTTTAACCATTCCCTACCAGGCCAGAGCTGGCAATAGTAAGTATCTGTCACTTTCTGCATGGGATGGGCCCCCCTCTTTTCCTAGGCTCATCTTCTCTCTCATAGGAAGCCATATTTGTCTCATGATTATTTTTACACCCACCTGTAGGATCTGCAGTAACCTCTCAGCTTCTTCCCCCCTGCCATGTGCTTCTCCCCAGCCTCCCTTGCATTCCAGACATTCAGAGCCAGGCCTATTTCCCTAAACATCATCACATCTCTCCATACGAGCATTTCCTATACCTTGAGGACTCCTCCTTTATCATAAGAGTCTGGCAACACCTCCAAACTCTGCTTAAATATCACCTCTGTGGCAATTAACTCTCTAGCACAGAAAGTCAATCCCACCTCTGTTCCACCATCTATATTCTTTTGGCTTATTTTCACACAGTATCTCATTTTGGTTTGCATGGCAGCCCTTCCACCCTCTCTGAGTTCCCTGGGGGTAGAAGATTATTCTATATTCTAGCATAACACTAGGTATAAATGCTCGATATGTTTTATTTGAATGAACAGCCCCTATATCATTTTATGTATGTGGCTATAAATTATATTCATAACTAAATAAAATATGCAAAGGCAGTCCATCTGCTTAGGCTTCCCAAAAGGTGCTAAAATCTATACCAGGCCCTGCACAGGAGCTGACTCAGGAAAGACCAAGTCGTCAGAAAATGTAGTTTTTGCTTGAAAATGGCGCCATCTGGTGGTTTGAGTCAAAACAGCACGTCAGCTTGTCATAGTGGACAAAAGGCTTCACCCCTGGGGTCCTGAGATTGGTGTTCCCTTCAGAAGGCTCCCTACCCTCTCTACCTCTCTTCTGCTGAGATCTAGGTAGAGCCCTTCCTTAAACATTCAAGGGCCTTTCCTTGCCAGCAGCTCTTGGATGTGCAACTTCTCCACTTTGAACATTCTCCAAGCTTGCACCTCAGTTTATACCTGGAACTCAGCCTTGTGTCCACCCTGGACGGGCTCAGGACCCAAACTGAACTTCTCCCTTTAGCCTTGGTATATCCTATCCTCAGGACCCTTTTATCATCACTTGTCCATGAAACACATATTGCAAGTCACTTATCCTGACTCAAATCCACCCTCTTCTCACCTCTCCTTGGCCTAGCCCATACCAGCACCCTTTCTAATGTTCCAGGAGCATCCACATTGCCTTCAACATATATTGCTGAAAATTGCCCGTCACCTCCCCTCAAAGTTGTCAGCCACATGTCCCCAGAGCCAGACTTCCAGCATTGGATGGGTGAGTGGGTGGGTAGATGGCAGGCATAGCATCTGTGCCAACACCAGGGCAGGTTGTTAAATAGCTTGTCTCTTTATTAGCAGTTCAGCAAGAAGATTCCAGTGCTACCACTGTCAAAATGAAGGGCTCACCCACTGGAGTCTCTCTGCCCAGGTCTGGTCACCCTTCAGGTCAAGTGGGAGGTGGACCTTCTTCTGACACAGGCTGCTCCTTGACCCTGAAAGCCTTCAACAGGGAAGCAGACAAATGTTTAAGGGGCGCATCATGCAGATGTGATGTCTTCTTGTAAGCCTACTGTTTTTCATATTCTCACCAGGAAAACTCACAAAAGAAAAGTGGTAGTGGTATATCAGACTGTTGGGATTGAAGCCTGACTCTGATTATTCCAACTTCAGAAGGCCCTGAAAGTTGCTTACACCCATCTCAGCACCTGTGATTTCTCATCTCGGGGAATATTAGCAAACAATTGATGTGTGTTTACCATGTGCTAGACAGTCCCCCCAGGACAACCCTCTGACATAAACACTGCAATTGTAGATGAAGAAATTGAGGCACAGAAGCACCTGTCATGGGTCAGACAGATTAGACCCCGGCTTGGTTTACCCTCTGCTGTCTGTAAAAATGGTTGATTTGGGATCAAATGAGAAATCTTGACAAAGCGTCTTATGCAAAACCTGGAATATAATAAGTGTTTGATAAATGCTAACATTTTCTTATCTCCATAGCCTTCTTTAAGTATATAAAGACTGGCTGTGAGTAAATCATGCCTTTAACCCCCACAACAACCAGAGCAGTTTTTCATCCCAGCAGGGATGCACTGACTGTTTCTAGCAAAGATCTTGTGTTGGGATTGCCCTGCCATTGACCTTCCACCTTCTGAAACTACATGAACAGCCACTTTTACAACAACTAGTACTGAGCACAATCAAAGAAGCCATGTATGACATGTACCCAAAGTCATGTACAATATCCCTGGTTGGTGCCAGGTCCAAAATCGGTTTACCCTCTCTCTGTGATCCTGTGACTCAGAGTGAGGTTGGTAGACTAGCATGAGGCATTACAGAAGCCCGAGCAGCACTGCCCAGGAACTATTAGAAATGCAGAAATGCAGCCCTACCAAAACCTCAAATATGATGTACTAAGCGTGTGAAGGATTGAGAAATACTGGTCTCTGGCACCACAGTTAAGAGAGACAGAGAGGCCATTCTGAAACTTATGTCCTTTCACAAATTTAAGAGTCTTTTGTAAGAACTTAACAGCAGTTGCCGTCTCCCTGGGCCTCATTGCCCCCAAGCGCATCTGCCCCACCCACCCACACACACTTATAGAGATATAAACTATGCCTTATTATGGAGTTCCCCATCCCAGAACTCTTTCTTACTACCCAGGATAACCATCTGCTCAGCCCAGTTCCTCACCTGCCTGCTCTCTCATCTGTGACACTCAGCAGTTTGAGAGGGAAGATCGGAAACTTGTGTCCTGACATGAGTCAGTCCTAAGATGGGAAATGCTGTAGGAGACAGGAGAGGGGTGGGGTGGAGAGGAAGCTGCTGGGGCAAAACCTATCCAAACCAAATACCCAGATGACAGCACAGGGCAGGGGCTGCAGTGGGCAGGATGTGGCTGGGCCATCACCACCTGTAGACCTAGGAATGAAGTCCTAGGAAGAGAGCCACAGCCCAGAGCCCTTCTGTGAGTCGGAAGGCACTGTGGGAGGCCTATGGAGCCACCACCATGTATAAAACAGGAGAGAGAACAGTAGCCCTGGGAACTGCTTGTCCTTGCCCTCGGTGTTAGAACAAACACTAAAAAGAACATATCTGGGTTTGGGCAGGAAATCCAGCAGTGGCTCCCACTCCACCTACCCCAGGTGAGAAATGCAAAGCATCCTGTCTCCGTGACTTACCTTCGTCTCACTTGCTCTATTCGATTTTGTATGACGTCATCCATCATCTCACTTGGCACTTGGAAGACACGGGTATGGCTGCAAAATGTGATTCAGACATGGGGATTCTGAGCTTCTTTTGAACTAGGCATAGTGAAACTTCCAGAATTGAGATCATAGGAACAATGCTGTTGCCTATTGCTATGAACTTTGAAGCTGACTCCTCACCGTTTTCATGTAAGGTTGTTTTGTTTTTGTTTTATTCTGTTCTGGTTTTTTTTTTTGTTGTTGTTATTGTTGTTGTTGTTGTTGTTTTTGTTTTTAACTAACCAACTACTGGTGAACCACTCAATCATGCTGAGCAGGCAGCAAATGTTCCTAAGGTGAGTTAAAAAAACAAAAAAAGCTTAATCCTTACTAATGCCAGCAAGACATTGGTCTTGTGGATATCTCAATTCCCCTCTAACTTTATTTTCAGCTCTTATGATCAGTATCATATCATATATACTATGATTTAGAGAATTTTCTAGAAAATTCTGTCACAAGGAAGCTGCAGACACCTCCTTGTTATCTTTTCTGCTTGACTTCACCAAACTGGACTTGCCTCCCCCTTTCTAGCCCACCTGGCACCCTTTCAGATTCTGAATCCCAGTTCCCTTCAGAAACCTGTGATCTGTCCACTGAATACCCCACTTCAGTGCCCATCAACACTGCCCTCCCAAGGCAATGACCTTTTCCTGGTGCTGTGGGCATTTGAAAGTGACAACAGCATTGATACTGCCTCCAATGGTCCTCTGCCCATGAGGAGGTAAAGGTGTAATCCTGAATATGGAGCCTACAAGGCAGAGACAGATCAGCACCCAGATGAGGAGATGAAGCCAAGGAATTGTCCTCAATTGAGGGAGGAATTCCCAGCCTGGGAGGGAAAGGAGTGCTCCAGAGAAGAAGGGGTCACAACCTTGGACCCTGGATACACATGGGATACCATGGGTACCTGACTCTCCTGGTCTCTGAAACTCTCATCCTATCCCCTGTTTCTCCAGTAATGCCTAGTTCAAGAGCCAGTCCTGGCAAAAGGCCTGCTATGGAGTTTCTCAAAAATCCTGGGCAGCAAAGCCCAGCACATGTGTGACCTATGTCCCCCATGCTGTGCTCACAGATACTCCTTAGGACTTCCCTAACACTTTCTTTAACTGTCTCACACCATATCTACCAGGTCAACTTTTAACCCTCTGAAATGAATGACTGTGTCTTGTTCTTTTCTCTCCTCCAATGGGGCCAGCAAACATTGGTGGTGTAGTACCTGTCTATTAAACCATTTGTGTGGGTGGGAAACAGGAAGATGCTGTTGGTTTAAAATCTCCATTGAAAATCCAGAGTAAAAAACTTGTATGTTGAAAATCTGCTGATTCCTATATTTTTTCTAAAGCTTAAATCTAATTAGGCTATACAGCAAAGGTTTTAAAATACTGGAAGATGATGTGCATATTATCCAAGAAATACAACACTTAGAATTCCATAGTGCAACTGCTATGGAGAACTTTGGATTACAATCAACAACATTAATGATTTAAGGATCCCTGGCAAGTTTCTCATTCAAAAAGCTCCTTCCCAGAGAGTTCTCAAATTCCACCGTTGGTTATCCCTTCCTGTTATGTGGTTACTGCACATTTAAATTCTCCTAAAATGTAGGTGCCACTGGAAAACCTGATATCCTGAAACAAAAATACGTGTCTTGAGAAATACAGCCTCCTTGAGAGCAAAGGACAAAACCAAATATTAGTGCAGAAGAGTTGAAAGATGAGAGTATTCTTCAGTTTTCTATAGACCCGTTTAAGCCCACAATCTGTCTACTAGGAAGGGATTTGGAGTTGTCCAAAGCTTCAGCCGAATTCAGGGACCAGAAAGGAAATTAAAAGCCTCTGCCCAAAGAGTGGCAGCTTCACACCAGCTCTCTTTTCCCTTAGTGTTAGCATCATCACAACCCAGAGAAAGGCTGGCCTACAGAGAATAACGAAGCCACCATCATGTGGTTTTGTCACAGCATTCTAGCCGTGGGCACTGGGAAACTACCACACACCTCAGTTGCAGAGGAGGGCTTTGACTTTTGCATTTTGGAGATTATTTTTTCGGGCGGCTCTTAAAGTACAGGCACTTCTGAACAATTCAAGTGCCAAAAAATGACAGAAATCTGAAATGTCTTCGGAAGCATTTAGGGAACGGAGAGCAAGCCCAGTTTCCCAACCCCTCAAGTCATTTAAAAAATATACGAATGATCTGAGCTTTCAAGATAGCAAAAATATTCCCTTAAGACCCCAAAGCAAGACTGAGAAATTTTGTGTAACTAATTAAAACAAATAAACAAAAAAGACTGAGAAATTTCTTAGCAAAAGGAGATGGCATCTCTAGAGAAGAGCAGTTGTAGGTTTGTATTGGCCCAGGGGGTCCTGGAGAGAAGTACCTGTGCTTTCTCATCGGCCCTCCCCACCTCTTTGCTCAGGGCAAATGATGCTTTACCTCCATCTTATGAACTGAATCCTTGTTCTCTCCTCCAGTACCTCTTGACTCTGGTTTGCTAATAGATCAGACTTCGAAAGTTGGTGCTTCACCTAGGAAATCCAGGCAGGGGTCCATGTGATTACTGGCCAGCATGGGCCCCCATAGCTGGGAATGGGCTGAGCCCTGGCCCAGCATCCCTCATAGTGGGTCCTCCTGCCTCTCCTCAAACCCTCATTCCCAGGGTAATCATCTCAAACACAGTTACCACATCTCTGGTCACATGTACGTCTTGGCCATGAGTAGGAGAAGAGTTGGTGGACATCTTCTCCTTTATGTCCTGGGAAGCCTCCTCTTCTGTCTGAAAAGGGAGTAATTTCCTCCTGAGAGTGTCATTCTCCTTTTTTTTTTTTTTTCTTCGTACCAGGGATTGTGCTTAACCACATCCCCACATCCCCAGCCCTCTTTATGTTTTATTTTGAGACAAGGTCTTGCTAAGTTGCTTAGGGCCTTGCTAAGTTACAAAGGCTGCCTTTGAACTTATGATCCTCCTGCCTCGGCCTCCTGAGCCTCTGGGATTGTAGTTTTTCATGACAACACCCAACATCACTCCCCTTTAATTCTGAGTCTTCCTCTCTTATTCCTTCTCTTTTCTTCTCCATCATACCACACATAACATGCATCCATGAACATATACTCCATACCCGACAGTTCCTGCACTAAGCTCCTCTGGTTTCTACTCTCCTTGAGATCCCAGGGAACTCCCCAAGTCCCTGGCCCTATCTCACAGTGTTCCTGAGACATGCGCCTGGTTTATGCTGATGCTAACACATATCTTACCAGGACAAGAGCCTCATTGTCTTTGTGGACATTTGGATGAATTAGATTCAACTCTAAGCAGGTATCTCATAATGAACTTGAGTTTCCCAGTTTTATGAAGAGAGAAGTCTAGATCCTTGGCCCCCCCAAAACTATCTCTCTAGATCTTTGGATACCCAGAATCAGAGAAGTATCCTACTCACCTTTTTCAACCAGTGCTCTACTACCGATACAGCCTCACTTTCCACAACTTCAACATCCTGCAACAAATAGGTAATTGGATAATCTCAGAAAACCTAGAACCCAGCCCCCACCCCATGTCTCTTATCCAAACATAATACTTTAATCTTTTTTTGAAGTGTAGTGGGGGTGCAGTGGGGAGAAGGTAAATGGGGAAAAATTTTACATGGCTACCACCAAAACCACTTACCGAACTCATCCTTGGTGGGAAGGGGAGCCCGATACCTTTCCGGGCGAGAATGTACAAAATCCATGTTGTAATGATCATCTTTGAACTTATTCTAGGCCACCTTCTTAGCTCCCTCCTTCCATTGAAGCTGCCTGAGAACTTCTATAGGACAGAGAGGTCATTGGAGGGAAATGCCCACCTGATTGGCTGACCAATGATGATGTGACAATGATCTCTCTTAATCTCCAGGCTCAGAGTAGAGATGGAGAAGAGAGACTAGGAAATTCCCATCTTAGTGATGATCCTAGCTCAGAAGGGTGGTGGGGAATGAGAAGTAAGGGTAAACTATTGCCAGTAAGAGCCCAAGAAGACACCAAGGAGAATTTACCCAAACCATGGAGAGAAAATGTTAGGGTGGAGCCTGGAGTTGGGGGTAGATTGATGACTGGTTCAAGTCCTAAAAAAAATGCTCAAAAAGAGAGTTTTCAAATCAAAAGAATGAATCTGTGGCAAAAATTACCCGAGCCCTCTAGATAGTCAATCACAACAATGTCAGAGGTATTTCCTGTTCTCTTTATGTATAGGGGCACAACAAAGCTTGTTATCTATCCAGAAAACACCAAATATGGGACAACAATTTTCTCTTCAGGGATATTTGCTTTATTTTTTGTCTACTTTGTTTACTCAAGTGATTTAAATCTTTTTTTTAAAAAAAAAAAAAGACAAACAGTAAGAAGTAGGGAGTAAACAGTGAAATTTCCTGATGACTTTAGTTCATCCTGGGTGCAAAAAGAATAAAGTGAAAAGGACAAGGAGATCTCCTGTGACTTGAGACTTGGGAGGCAAAACAAAACCTGATAAGGGTTCAGATAGCTACTCTTTCTTCCCATCTAGACTTTTTGCCAGGAATTGAAAGAAGCTCGGAACATCCCAAAGAACCCTGAGCCGTGTGCAGTGGCTCTCAACAGCAGCTGGAGTTCAACTCAGTGGATTCTGAGACATTAGGCTACTCTCAAAGTCTCAGAAATTAGGCCTATAATTCTGTCTCTATGTTAACTTGTTCCATGCCCTTGACCTGATCTCTGCTCTGAGTTTCTTTGTTCTTAAAATGAAAATAAAATGGGATCTCTCGTCTCCATCTGGCTCTAATCTTCTATCAATCTCCCCATTCTTATTCTTCTAAGTACTGTAGAAAACCTTTCTCTC